AAATCAGGCCCCATATGATCAGTGTTTCATATACTGAGATTAATTACTGATATTTCAGTTAACTACAATTCTTATGGCCTAAACTTTTTTAAAAATCGAAATTGCTTTATTTTTGTAAATTTTTTGATACTAGAAAAATGTTGAAGTTATGCTCACCAACTGACATCCCTTCTTACAATTTGAAACAAAAGAGATTTTAAAGTTAACATTTTCCCACACTGAAAATGTATTTCTGATGAAAACTTACCTCCACTCACATAATAGCTTTTCTGAACTTGACAGAGTGGACAAATCAAACGAAAGGAGAGGGAAAAAATGTGATGGGAGTGGGAGAAATGAAAGGTATTAGCAAAGGCTGCTCTATGGCCAGGAATGGTAGATACTGATAGACTAAAATGGAATAGCCAAGTAAAGAAATCTGAAGATTGGGAAACACTAGGGTGGGAGGGCAAGAAACCATGTTGCAGAAACCAACACCAGATAATGTACCATTTTCTCTGATAGACATTCAAGGAAGAAGGGCAGACCAAAGGGGACAGAAGGCTACCCATGTACAGAGTCCAGTATCTTGCAAGGGACCTGACAAAATCCACACATGAAGCCGCAGTGGTGTGATAGTGGAATGAAATATGGCAGATTTAGGTTGACAGAGAAGGGATCGGCAAGGTGGAAGAAGTAAGGGAGGGGACAAATGAAGGAAGATTAGAATCAGAGACCAAAGTTGAGTGGACCATAATGGAAAGATGAGAGGGACTTCACACAAAATGGTTTGGATGAAAAGAACACAGGGGGAGTAGATGGATAGGAGGATAGGTAAAGGTCGGTCCAATCCTCACTGAAAGCATTTACCACCAAAGCTAAAGAATGTGGAATCAAAAACCAAAACAGGAGCAGTTTGGCATTGAGATAGGCAGAAAATACACTCAGAAGTGCAGTAGCAAACTGGAAGCATAACCATCAAGAAACTTGGGGGGAAAAAGGCCACTCCGTAGGTAGATTCAGATCACCTGGGGCGTGACAAGCAAGAAAGTGGACTTGCTGAGACTGGGGCCAAAAAAGGAGATCCATCATTTGAAAACAAAGAAAATCTGGATGAGTGCCTCTTGTTGATTGATGTTAGAGAAAACGGTCAAATTTTCGGAATGGATCATGACCAAATGGCCCCATAACAAAAGTTGGAAATGATCAAAGGCCCGATGGACTACAATAAGTTCTGGTAGGTTGATATGGAGGAAAGATTTGACTACTGTCCAATGACCTGCATTTCCTGAGAACCCAATTATGCTCTCCTTCCTGTTAAAGAGGCATCTATGAACAGGTGCAAATCTGGATGGGGAGGAGACAGAGGAACACAAGTAGATGTTGTCTCTGTAGACCCACCAGGTAAAGTCTACTTTAAGGAAAGAAGGGAGAAGAATGATGGAATCCAAGAGATGCCAAACAAGATTTCATTGATCATGCACCACCCACTGACGATCATGCATATGTGCACGACCCTAAGATATAAGGACTTCCATGGATGCCAAGGTCTCCAATAGAGACAGAACCTCGTTCCATTGACTTCAAACAAAGATAAGGCTAGGTCCTGCTGAGTTAGGTGTTCAAAAATATCCCCAAATGGATCAGATACTGTGGGGGTTGAGATAGGACTTCTCCAACTTGATTAGCCATCCACATGAGCAGCCTTCCATAAAAGGAACTGTGTATGAGAGAGAGAGGTTTGCTGGAACTGAGCTAAAAGTAGCCAGTCATCCATATAGTGATGGAACCACAAACCTTAGTCATGAAGATGACAGGAAAAGCATCTGAGCACACAAAATAAGACATAAGACACCAACTCCAGATCAAAAGGTAGAGAGCAGAATTGGAAAAATTAACCTCCATGAACAAAAGGAAGGTAATGTTTGTAGAGATAGGGATATGAAAGTATGCATCTGAAACATCAACCTTCATCATCCAAAGATCCTGAGTGAATGCCCACCAGATTGCAAGGAAGGACTCTATGATGAACCAAAGAAGATCAGTGTAGCAGTTGAAGTTGGATAGGTCAATGATAGAATGCCAATACCCAGTCTTTTTGGCAACCACAAACAACTGGGAATAGAACTACAGAGATGGACAACACACTTGTTCGATAGAATCTTAGTGTAAAACATCCCAAACCACATCTGAGAGATACTGGCAAAAAATGCAATCTCATGGAGGGTGGAAAGAAATGGAACGAATGGATAATGGAAGGAAGAGATAGAAGGGAAAGTCCTTCTGAAAGAACTTGGAGAACTGAGGGATCTGTGGTGAATGAACTCTACAGATAAACAAACCTGGTTAACAGTGCCCTTTCTGGGATAGTCCCTATGCAACTGATATCAGAATAAATAAACAGAAAAGAAGAGCAATTTCGAGGCTCACCACTGAAATGTGGGAAAAAGGCACAAATACAAGAGAGGAAGTAGGGGGAAACATGGGAATTCTAGCAGGAGAGGGTTAGGAAAGATGGGAAACTAAGTAGGTAATGGAGGAATGTTGATGTGCAGCCTCCACCCAAGTCTACTCCAATGTATCATGAAGATCTCCAAATACAAACTGGCACAAAAAAGGGATCCAAACATAAGTCCCTAAAACAGGAAGCAAGACGACACACATCCCTTCCAAGAATATCCCAAGAACAAAGGAGCTATGTATGCAGACATAAGGCTTAGAATGATAAGCACACCAATGTGGAAATGATAAGGGCACAAGTATCTGCCAAAACCCCCCCAGATGAACAGTGGAGAGTACCAGAAAAAGAGGTGAATGGAAGAAAGACAGTCAAGGACAGGGGTGAGTGTAAGCCAAAGAGATGAAAACTGGGCTGGGAAAAATCTCAATGTAGTCTCTGAATCAGATCCCTGCACTTGAATCAAAGGCTCCCAGGTTTGAGAGTCCAAATATGGAAAATCCAACCTACTATAGGCCAAAGCATAGGAGTCAGATAAATGTGGAGGGCGAGGCATACTGGCATCCAAATGTAATTAGGCTGAAAACTGATCAGCATGTTCTTGAATATCAGGATAGGAGTAATCTGATAAAGGTGCAGAATGAAGGAGGGAGGGAAAGAATCATAAGACACATGGGTAATTAACAAAAGATAAAATACTTGGGAAATCATTTCCAAAAATGCAAATGAATTAAATCCAAAGGTGTAGCATGGGATTGCATTGCAAAGAAAGGAGGTGGAAAAAAGGTTGTCCAAATCCTTGTCATCCTGACCCGATTCACCCATGAACAGAATATCTGGCCAGATTTCTGGAAACGTAGCAAGCTGGATGAGAGTTTCTAACCTTGATGTACTATGGCTGAAACCTCCTCAGAATAAAGTGTGATTCCAGAAACACAGAAGTAACAGGTGGATCAGCAGTGGCCAAACATATGACCAAAGTTCATAGCGTGAAAATTGAAAATATTCCATAGAAAACTAAGTAAGTAGAAATGAAATGACAACAAACTATGTTGTCAAAACACAATAAAGTTAACTTAAAATTGCATACAAAAATATGCAGAGGAAAACTAGAGAATAACTAGAACACCAAATCAAGAAGTGATGAAAGTAATGTAGAGCATAGAGGGAGTCAGCTAAAGTGCAGTTATACTATGTAAGGGTAGGTGGCAATAAAGCAAAAATTTTGCATATAGAGGGCGGCACAACTCGAGAAATGCTATTATGTGAGAAGAGGTTAAGTATCATATCAGAAGTTTTATTTATTAGTTATAAAAAGGTGTTTAGTGTATTTTCTACCAATGTGCATAACACTTCACAGCAAACAAACTTGGGTGGAAAAAGAAACTGTTGTACATTTTACATTCTCATATGGCAAAAGATTAACAGCTTCGATTCCATCAGAAAAGTATACAAGCTTAGAAATACAAGGTATTTGGGTAAAATACCAAAAACCTGTGAAAATACCAGTGTTGAAAGCAGTAGAAGCATTTAGATGTATCCAAGGATAACAACTTGGCTCTAATTTCAAAATAACTGTTGATGGATTATAGTGTAAAATGAGCTCTTTCAAACAGCTATAAATACATACATGTTAAAAGTATGTGTAACTTCAAAAACTCAATGCTAACTATTGAAGGGGGTTGACAAAATTTATTTCTTGTTTCAATTGCTTTCAACCAAAGAACTTTGAAACATACATGTCAAAATGGCAAGTAAACTACGTTCTTGTCTAGACATGACGTTACTTCGACAGTTTATAGCTTGTACATCACGTTCATTATTGCTTTCAATGTTTCTGTTGAAACTAAGATAATATAAACCTTTGAAATATAACACACTTGATAATAAATTTCATTAAAATACATTGATAGTAACATGATTTAATTAAATTTTGAATGTAACTCAGTGACATGAGCAAAAAGGAGTTTAAAAAAGTGCATCATTGTTAAAAAGTTTAAACTCAAAACATCTTCACCAACTAGTAAAAATGCGTTTTGGGTTGAAAAATCATGAAAATGAGTCATTATATACAATTAGCATTAAAAATCAGATACCTAATGTAATAGTTTAAATTTTGTTAGAAAAAAGGAAGGTTTATTATTTTAGTTAAATTTTATATACCACTAAGCTCTAAGCCGAGCAACAGATTTTAAGATAAACAGTTAATTTACATACTTACAACACGAACTATGGTCAAAATAAATTAGTAAAAATAAAACACTTAAAACGTTTTTACTGGCTTATAAAATCTCTAAGCCAAATAAGTGTGCAATATATTCCAAAGTCAGAATATTGGTGAATAAGATTTGCTATTCAAAATATAGTCATTAAAATATATGCACCATAACTAATAGAAAGAATTGTATTCGTCTAGAAAAAAGAAAAAGTAAATTCAACAAATTATTATAATAAAATGTACATTTAAGCTTTAAGTAATATTTTCTATGTAAGTAAGTTTTATAGATAGAAAAAAACTTAAAAAAGGGTATTTCACCCCCAAAGATAAGAAAACATTACATACCCCTGTTCATAATAGACACAAGCTAGATTTCCATGGACAACAGCATTGTTAGGACTGAGATTCAAAGCTCGTAAGTATGCCGCTACTGCCCTGTAAAGATAATACTTTAACAATCATTCTTGTCTAAATATGTACACCCACTCCACAAATTGGTGACAAGGAAAACAAAATCTTTTTATTGAGAAAAATTGAAGTTATAATTATACAGCTTTATTGAAACATTTTACGCTCCTGGAATTTGTTTAAAAAATGTCATGAAGTTTCAAATCAATATGAAACAATTTAAATGCTTATTAATAAAAGTTGACACTTATATGCTAACTCTTACACAAGAACCTATTTAAATGTAAATTACTAGTTCCAATTAAATTGTTGTTACATTAACAAGTTATACCAAATTTTGCTCAAAGTCACAAAATACTTATAATTTATGCTATTTTACAAGTTAATAAAGTAATCTTTATTTATTAATTAGATATTACACAGCCATTCTGTAACACAATATAAATACAAAAGTATAGTGATATTTGACTTTACAAAAATTTTTTTCCCTGAATCTATTTGATGATTATTTAAAAAATATCAGAAATAATTTTAACAATAGGAAAATGAAAAGGTATAATTACTTAATTTTTTTATATTGCTACATTGTAAAGGCTCATGAAAAACAATTCTTCACCTAATATTACAAATTAATATTTTTATTGGATGCAGATAAAATCTGTGAAAACAGAGAAAGGTCATCTTTTACCTTCTTATGAGAAATACACGTAGATCAGCTAAATTTTAGTTCTCAATCAAAATTCTTTGATCATAACTACATAAGTATTTTTCAGCAAATTATTATTCATATTAATGACATATAATTAAGTTCCACACAACAGAAGAGGTAAATATTAACTTCTATGATATTTTAATTAAAATAAGTAACTTTTTACTTACTATATTAACTCTCTCGCTACAAGCTCAGTCAAATTGGCAGAGTTTGTGACCCTAAATTGACCTTTATAGTTTCCATACTATAACTTTTAATAAGTTTTTTGTATCTTCACGAGATTTCACAAGCTTTCAGTAATCATCAAGTCATTTGTAGACAAAAAAAGATTCAAATTAAGTATATTCACAAAAATTTCTCCATGAATATGTATAGTCAAAGTATAATCCGATAGCAAATTGATTTTCACGTTAAGATTGAAATAATTTTTCATCTGAAAAATCTCAAAATTTTATTTGCATAACCTCTAAAACCTCCTAAATAAATTTCAAACGTTTTTCTTCAGTACAAATTTATATTTTATCTATTATTTTCTCTACCATAACTCTATACGAGGTTGGTCAATTTGACCGACCTTGTAACCACAAAACAAAACAATTAAGAAAATCTCAATTGTCCTTTTTTATCTTTCTAGAATGACTTGCAATATAACATGAAACATTTGTTTATCCTAAATAGCTTTAAACACGTAACAGTATACAACTGTTTATACTTAAATTTTATTGCCCTTTGAACCATGTCCAACTGATACTCCCCCATAAAATTTGTAAATCACTTGATGCATGTGGAGTTCATGTTACCCTACTGAATGACAAAGTGCATGAGCTACTCGAAAGTGTAACTCATGAAAACATTTTAATATAACATATTTTACCTAATCTAACCACAATAGTTTCTAATTTTTACATTGTAGTTACTTTTATAATAAGTAAAGAATACAGATGAAAAACAAGAAATATACTACTTACATGGATCTTTATTTTTTGCTGTCGACTGTAAATGACATTGGAACTCTACTTTCTTTTTATACTAATGGCATTACTGCACTAAATATTTTGTATTTAATTAAATAATGCAGCAAAGAACACAGAATAGTCACATGCAGAACAAATTAGCATAGCCTCGTAATTTTTTATGGCTTTCTAACTATGCAACAAAAGCTGTTAAAAATTCAACTAAGCACATTGATGTGTTTCCTATGGGAATAAAGTTTGCACTGGAAGCGAAATAGACAATTATCTGCACAGAAAACAATGTAATATAATACATCATTTAATACATTGAAACCTTGGCTTTCTATTGGTTATAAATAATATAGTATTAAACGACAGAACTGATGGCAATTTCTGAAAGAGAGAATGTGACACGTGGGCATTTTAAGAGAGACCCGATTTTCTACTTTATAGCTAAATAAGACTGAAGGTTATAAAAATTATGCTTTGCCTGAGCAATGACAACATTATAATGAGTAACAAATTAAATTTCAAATTTCTTGAAAGGGTGATAAATAAATTAGAGAAGAGGGGATGCCCAGAATGAATATGTTACAATTCTCATAACAGAAGAAATTCAGGTTTTTTGTTGTTTTTAAATATTAACACATAAAATTAAGAACTTAAAACATATATATACTATTAAAATTTGGATTATTACCTACATTTTTATGTACCATGACAAGAAAGTAGTTAAATTAACTTTTGAATGTGACATGTGCAGAAAAAAAATGCCTGTAGCAAAAGTGTTAAGCCCTTGCATTTTAGCAAATAAAAATCAAGTTTTTCTAGCCAGGCTAATAAAACATTTGTTTGGTTTATTTGACTCCAGCATCATTTTTATTTAGATAATTTGCCATAATGTTTCTCAATCTGTCACCTTGAACACACTTTCCTATCACTACTGAAATAATACAAACATCTGCAATATTTGTAAAAGCAATTTGATGACATCACATTGGACAGCCAATACTTAGCTACTCTAGACAATCTTGACCTAAAAATTATCTAGATATTCTGATATCAGCCAACTGTAAAAGTGATACAGATGGACAGAGCAACCTAATTCAGACTTTTTCCATGGACATTTTGTTTATCTATCAGCAGTTTAACCAAACCCTCACTATGACTTTTCATCTCAATTTCACAATTATACAAAAGGAACCATATTAGAAAGAATAACCCCACTACTCTCCCTACAATATTGTAACACAAGGAAATGTGAACAAATTGAAAATTCCACATAAATCATGAATGTGCACTACTGCTTTAACTATAAAACTTCCATTTTACTTTCACCAGAGAGTAATTTGTGTTTGCCTTTAAAAACTAATTTTGATATACGTGCAGTAAAGCAGTAGCACTGATCCTTTATGAAAGAACATACAATCTTAAGTATACTATACACCACCTTGAATCCATCATCATCAGTCATGCATAAGTTTCTTTTTCTGAATTACAGTATGTTATTATAATTATCCTTAAGACAATTAAATGAAGCATACCCAATGTGACACTTCAATTTTTACCATGTAATGGTAGAATAAATTCTGAAAAAATATTAATGACCTGTAATTCAGTATAACTTGATTATAATTATTTTCAGAAAAAAACAAAACAAAAAACTATTCCCATAAAAAAATTATACCTAATGACCTACCTGTCAAATATGCGAGCTTCCTTTAATACATTTCCCAGATTAATGTATGCGTCTAAGAAGTTGGGATCCAAATTAACAGCCTGAGTAAAGAAATAGAGGTAAAAATCATCTAATAATTTAGTAATAATCAAGTATAATTCTAAACTATTTAAGATAATTTTTTTAAAATTAAGTAATCAAAACTTCCAAGTATTATTGGGACTATCACTGTAATTACATCAAGTTTAAGCCTAATTTCACAATGTAAACTATACTTTTCTGCCTCCAAGTGAAGTTAGGGTATACAATGAGTGGGGGTAGTAGTACTTGCCCTGTCATTTTTGACAGGCTATATGCTAGTATAGTAATAAGCTACACACACAAAAATAATAATAAAAGTGTATGGTAAAAGTAAGCTACTAAATTAAAGAGAAATTGAACATCAATCTGGTAATGAGTATAGCTAATTAAGTATACTTTTCTTACACTCTTATTTATAAAGTTTAGAATGCACCTTTTCATCAGTTGTGTACCCTTACAGTCAATATTTTTATAACTACAAAAATCACATTAGTGTTATGCACAAATACAAACATCGAATAAAACAACAGCATTAAAAATTTAAAAAAAACTAAAGTTAATTAAAATGAAAAGTTAAAACTCTAAAAACAATAAATTAAACCATATTGTTATTAGGCAACCTTCTGATTACAAAATTTCAAAACAGGATTGTTTCATCTTGGTATCACAAGGTTTCTTTTTTTTTCAAGTTTCATACACAAATTTCTCATATAACTAACAAACTTAAAATAACAAGGCTTGTAGATCTAGATTTTTTATATACATATCTCTAAAACTTCCAATTTTGGTCCTTAGTTTTTCTTTCCTGGTCAAAACGTTAATTCTTATTTGAGTATAAAATTACTTTTATTTTCACCCATGAAAACAGCTTGTCAATGTATTAAAGTAACTACAAATCATAAAATGTCATTATATTTCATTTCATAATCAAAAACTTCATAAATATTTTTATTAATAGTAGTGCCAAAAACAATTAAATTTAGCCAGTTATGTTCACAGTTTAAAATTGTAAATACCTCAAATCAAAAAGCATGTAGCTGATGAAATGATTGCTATTATTATTATTTTTTTCAATATGGGATCATTCACAATTACCAACATTATCTTAAGCCAATAAAATCAGGGGAGAGGGTGTAATCAAATCATACTTTAATGACTAGCCCAAATCTACTATTTTGGTACAACATTCCTTGCCAAATGTTACATGATTTGTAACATTCACTGCTGCATCCAACAACTCAAGGTGCATGTACATACTGGAGACTGGAATGGTTTTATTACAGAATTTATTCAACACAGATTTTGTTGTTAAGTAGTTAGATACTGTGTCCCCATTTTCATTTCTGTAGTGCATATTGGTGTATAATAGACATTTTAATACCAAATTGTTATTGTTCTTTAATTGGACATTCAAAAGCAAAACACTGGGTATTCACTTAAAGTAAAACAATAATTTGGTGTTATAAGGTCATTTATTTCTAGTATTAATGTGTCCCCATCTAACCTATCAAAAAGCCAGTGTATGTCACATCAAGCTTGATTTAGTGACAGGGGTGCAGTGAGGGCACATGAAACCTTAAAATTGTAGAGATCATTAGTATAGTAAGCCAAAAGTTAAGACAGCCTAGAGCCAAGTGCATAAAATTTATCATGAAAGTAAAAATATTGATTCAATTTTAAACTTAAATCATTTCTGCATTAATTAAGCTATTTTCTGTTACAGCACCAACATTTTAAATAAAAACAAGTCTCTTTAATCAACGGAGACTCTAAATTAAGAAATTAATATATATCTTACCAGTTTTGTTGTTTATACATTTCATTTTATACTTTCAGTACAAAGACTAACAACAATATTAGGTTATACTGACATAAAATCCATTGTTGGAATATAGTGTTACCAAAATGCACTGGCCTTTCTAGATATTAAAACTTTTTAATTAACTGATTTTTACCAATAATTATTCTATGAATATGTCGCATGTTCATTTCATGAATGATCTTAATTTTGATGGGCTCACAAAGGAATTTGTTGATCAAAATTTATTTATTTCAGTTAGTGATGAAATGTAATGTTAGGGTATACTATGGGGTGGTAGTACTTTCCCTGTCATTTTTGATGGGCTATACACTAGTACAGTAATAAGCTGCAAATAATAATAATAAGTGTTTTATCAACTAACATGAACCAACTTGTGAAAAGAATGTTAACTATTTTCCATGCCAGTAGATGTACTAAGTAAATATTATTCCATTTCTTATTTACACTAATTATAATTCTATCACACAAATAAGTTGGAAAGCATTCTTTTGGGTGTAAACAATGTTTAACCCCTTCTGTGTCAGGCTTATTTTAGGAAATGAGCTCAAAAATTTCAGGTTTTATATTTTTGCTTTTCGTTAGCCTATATGTATATATATCAATAAAAGTTATTTTATGATCTAATATTCTACTATTTCTGCACAAAACATACTTGATAAACAAACGTGCCATATCTGGATTTATTTCAATGAAACTACATTGTTTATGATAAATAATTCAGAATAAATCCAACAGAGGCCAGCACAAGTGACATTTCCAATGCTATCTAGCCAGCATTGATTGTAATATATAACATGTGAATAAATGTGGGCAAATAATTAAAAATATGGCAAGAAATGGTTTGCCCAAATTAACTTCGATAAATCACAGAAGATATTAAAGTAAAACATACACAGAATTAATAATTGCTATTGATATTTTTTATTTTTACTCTGCTTTAAAACAATTTCAAGTTCCTATCTAAAAATTGTTCTCTAATTTAAATACCTACCTCATTACATACCCATTCATTTTGGAAAAACTGTTAACTTTATCAATGACAAATACCATTAAAAAGAGGCTCCTAAACTACCTAGTCACACAGTGGCTGAAACCAAGTTAGTTTTACTAAGCAAGTCACTGGAATATCAAATGAAAGTTAAAATTTACTTGTTGTTTAAGGATACAATACTTTTTCTAAGTTTTGTTTATGTACTCTTCTGCATGTGCAATACTAATATACAAAAAACACAATTCCTAAAGTAAATGGAATGTACATACTGAAGTACAAGCATAGGATGAAGCAATTTCTTTAAAAATGTATTCACACGTGTGCAAGATTACAGATTAATATCCCTTTCAGTAACCATTGCAAAACTATGCACAAAATGCTTCATTTCTAAATTCACACTTCTGGAATTTTTTTGTTGTAGTTCAACTTTAGTTTACCTACTGTAAATACAAACCTTAAACCTTCATCTTCAGCAGCTAATCTTAAAAGATCATACAGCTAGCATGAATTAATTTATATTTTTATATGTTGTGAGAGTTAACAAAATTCACATAACACAAACAAAAACTTCAGATGTCAACTATTAAAAATCCTGACAATAGATAGTTGAATAGTTTGATTTCAGTAACCCTTAATGTTTACTTAATCATCTAATGGAGCAACTCACCTTTTCAAAATGATGAATAGCCAACCAGATTTCACCTTGAGCATTAAAAACACATCCTAGGTTACTCCAAGCAACAGCAAATGCTGGACAAGTTTCAATAGCTTTCAAATAACATGCCTTGAAATGGTTGGGGGTGGAAGAAAAAATGAGGAATAGGGAAGATGGGGGGAGAAAAACACCTTAGATTAGACAATGTCAACATTCTGATGTCATGGTATGACAGTAAATTAAAATAAAACATATCGCAGCTTGAGAGCTGGCACACAAGCTTTCAGACACGCATCGCACGCAGCAGGCCAATATCTTGGCAGGAGCAGACATGTCTATTCAATGAATGAGGTCACAGTGCACTTGTACTGGCACCTCCAGTTTCTGCTGACATTAATAATGCTCCTACAAAGATGTACGCAAGCTAAGCTTCCAGCTGCACGCATAGCTAGCAAAACGCTCCATTTGTGAATGAATGGTAAAAAAAACAATAAAAAAAACATTTTTCTATTTAGAGCAATGACTGATTAGTGAGCTTTTTTTCCTGATGAACTTGTACTAGAAGAAAAAGCAAACACAAAAATTTTAAAGAAACTAGATTGGAAAAAAGTTTACACTATGAGCATCAACAGACTTAAGAATTTAGGATAAACATTAAGATTTTTGCGTAGATGTTTAATTAACATAAGCCAAATAACAAACCAGATGAACTTGACTGACTATGTATTCATTACCACGACTGATCGACGTGCTTCCCACTGGGTGGTGGTTCCAGGTACCATCAGACTTGCGTTGCAGCTAACCCACTCTGATCACCACTGAATGACACACAATCACCTATTAGTATGACTAAGATCTTTGGAAGAGAAAGAAGAATGAATCATTATAGAGTAGTGTTGAGAAATCCACATGAGATAGTGCTGTAAGATACCTCCTGCCAACACACATAGGAAGCAATAATTAAAAAAGAAATTCCACTCAGATCTCTAATGCAGCATATACTCTAATTCCAAAATGGAATAAAGATTTCTAAATGTCCAAATACAACAACCTCGTATACGTAGCTGTTTCACAAACTGTTTAAAACTACTTGCATGTAAATTTAGATAAGAATAAGATCACTGCATTCTTAAAACTAGTCTAAAAACACTAGTGTTAAAAGTATGACAATAAATAATACTAAAAGATATATGAGAAAAGCTGAGCAGCTTTTACTAGCATAGAGGTTTCCCTTCCATTTGTGCTCACCTGCGTGTATTTAAAAGCAGAGACAACTGTAATACCCACTTTATTTATTAAATATCTTTTCACATGCAGTATTTCTACCGCAATCTGTGCCATTTTAATTATTTTACAATTTTAATATGTTCACCCATACACCAAGATAATCCAAATGACACTGTTACCCTGTTACCTATTAAAAACTATAGCAAAAAACTAACTATTGTAAAATATTATGAAATCTAAAAGGTTCGAGAACTTGCGACAAAATTTCACAGTTAAAATGGTTCACAATATTTTCACCTTCAAAGGTAGTAAGACAACCATTCACTAGAACAAGAATGTATTAATTTGGATAACACTGCTTAACCCTTTGCAGACAAGTCATTGTTGAAAGGCCATGTAATCACATTTGTTGACTCGCATTCAAAGTTCTATTGAACTACTATTTCATGAATTTATGTCAATAAGTGTGGTATCAAACTGTAGATTATAATTCAAATCTTAGCATTATACCTTACTCAATTTCTTAATTTAAAAGTAAATATTAAAAAAACACAGTTAAACATCGATTTTCATGTGTCACATTGTATGTTGAATAAAGCACTGGTTCAAATTAGATGTTTGTGAAATCAAAATACTATAGTTTCATACAAATTAAAAATTCAAATTACCAATATTGACAAACTAGAATATAAAATAAGAGCCTCTTATCTTTTTAATTTGCTAAGATATTGCTCATGTAATAAATCAAAAACAGTGGCACCCCACCCACCTTTTTCCATTTTTGGAAACACTCTTATATGCACTTATTTCTATACATGACATGAATAACCAATCGGAAGCTTAGCCATTTTAATGTGTTTGGATGCCATCACTTTCTTTCAAACCAAGATTTCAAGGAGGTAGCTTGTGTCTTTAGTTTGCTCGAAATTTCATATTTTTTAGACTGAAATACACCTTAGTCACTAAGTTGAGAAATTATAGTGGAATTCTATGGTATTGATATTGTAATTTATGATATTTTGATCATTCAAATGTATATATAAAACCTATAAAAAAATTTTTTTTTTCATATCCTCCACGTGCAAACTTTTAAAAGGGTTAGCAACCTACGCCAAGCAGCAACTGAGCACAAAGGTAGTGACTAGAAGAGAATTGTTTGCTTTACTTCTTTATTTACTGTTCTATGTTTTAGGAAAAATAACTAAGACTCAAAATAGCAATAACCTATATACATATAAAATGTATAATAATTGAAATGTGGCTGTATTTTACAAAATATTAGCCGACTAAAACACAGCCAAGACAGGTCACTTTGAAAAGATTAAAGGTTAGTTTTATATTATTGGATACAGTAACACGAGTGCACATGCACCACATCATTGTAACTTCTGTATTGTTTGCCTGACATGGCTGAAAGGTCAATAATGAAAATAAAAAAATATATATAAATGTATAATGTTATGAAATTTAAGCTATTTAGTCTAAATATATGTTTTCGTGTTATAATTTGTTGTTATTCTTGAATGAAAAAGTACAACTTATATTTATTAAATTTTTTTTAACATGCTTATGAGATTCAGAGATGCATTACTGAAAATAACAGATAAAATAGTTGTTTTTCTTAAGAAACATTTGATAATTATCTGGACGTTATAGAAATTTCACATGTGAAATTTGAAAATTTTCTGATGCATAAAAATATTTTTAATCTTAAAATGAAAATTACTTTGCATGCTGGACAAGCAACAATTGAAAAAAGATATGAGAAAAACATTACTTCACAAACCTTAAGACTTAATAAAAAAATTTGATAATATTTTACATATGAAAGCATTGTAATGATTATTGATAATCGGCAAAATTTCATTAACATTTGCTTACTACTTTAAAAGTTTTAGCATGAAAACTATAACAAGCACAAAATGGTTATGAGGTCAGTCACAGGGACTGAGCCCAAGCTGAAAGAGTTAACCAAAGTTTTTTCCCTCTTTTTAAAACTGACTTTTATTACATGCTAAGTACACCAAAAGTAAATTGAAAAATCATTTTCTACCTGTTATACTGAACATTTAATATCGTTCTCTAACACTGTTATAATAACTTGCACAACATATACAGCGTTTTATAGCTAACTGAATTAACTATTACCTATTCAAGTTTCATATATGATTAGCAAATAGTAGTACTATATTTCACTGATTAACACATGAAGGATTAGTAAATTATTTTAGTAAGATTTACTGAGAAATATACGTTTTTAAGTTGCATAATATAACCTTAGAAAACAGCTTTAAACAGAATGACACTCATTTTGACCACTAAAGCTATACATACATTTATAACCAAATTATTTGTGCAGCTCACAAATATTAGATAACATAACCCAACAGAAAGCAAAAATCTCTTGATGCCTTACTACAGCAGTATTTGTTTGAAAATATAGTTAAAAATAAAAAACAAATTCACTTTATTACTAAAAATGTATAATAAAATAAACAATGTCTGAAATATGCACATTATTTTTTTTGTGGTTTTGGTCAATACATTTGAAACTTACAGCTTTATAACTAGTGTGCATAAAATATAAAGGTAGGATTTTGTTTAAAGCAAAAAGCAGGTACACTAAATTTTCTTTGGATGCTCAAAAGAAAAGTGTACATTGAAATTCTTAAGTGTCAGAAACTATCAGTCTAAAAGAAAATCACCAGTCCTTTTACCAATGTTTAAAATAATTTTATGTAGACTTTTGTTACCTAAGTATTTTAAATAATTTAATATACTTGTACATAAAGAAATCTGAATTCCATTTTAAAACCAGCCACGAAAACAATCATTTCTAGATGCAGTTCCGTAACACTCCCTAGTTGTGGTGGCAGAAGACCGTTTCTCTTGTTATAAGAAGTACTTGTAGGTTAGGAAAAAAAAAAAAAAAGACGAATTAAATCATTTAACAAGTTGCCACATATTTACATTTCAAAAACTTTGTCATGAATGTTAATGAAAAAAGGGTGGAAAGTTTTTCAAAGGCTGCTTGAAAATGAATATTTAATTATTTCGAAGCTTATGAACAGTCAGTTTGTACTTCGCTGCAATATATATCAAGCAGAAAGATGGGATATTGCACAATGTTTTCAACAACAAATAATTTCAGGATGCTGTATATACACAATCCTAAATTTAATGTAACTGAGTAAATCTACACTAAATTATAATATTGAAATTTTGGTAACTTTGATAGCAATATCCCTTCTTTTCATCACAAAGTCATGTTTTACAAAAAATAAAAGCAAGCGCACTTCACACAACAAGGTTGTCAAAACATCTTAGGCTGTATCAATACTGAAACAAGAACACCTAATGTTAATAACCATCTGCTATAGACACAAATTTTTGTACAAATTAAAAAAGTTAATATGAAACAGAATTTTCCAGCAATATATGTACAATTTTTGCTATGTTGCAGAAAGATTTTGCAAATACAGAGAATATTTATTATCCCATGAAATGATGGCTACCTACTCAATCTGTTTCCTCTGTGTGTGTGTGTAAAAGAAATTCAACTTCAGGATCCATACTGAGAAGTTTCTTATATACCTAGAGTTACCTTAAAAACCTGCTTTACAAAAAATTTGTAATATATCCTTTACACTAAAAAATTATTGCTCAATGTTTTTAACTAAGTGTTGCTCAATCTACTAGTGGTTATTAAACTGGATTTATTAGTTGTAATACTTTTAATCTTCTAGGTAATTTCAACAAATAGTGGCACCAACTTTAATCACTTCTATATTTCCATGCATTCTAATTATCATTTCACAATCCCATAAGCCCATTAGTTTATTTATTTCCTAGAAACAGAATATTTAGGTTTCCAAAACCCTCTATTGATTTTCTTTCTCATTGTCAGACTAGTGTGTGAAATGAGTTATCATCTTAAAAGGACCACAATAACTTTTATTCCATTACTAAAACTGCAAGTACACTATCTTTCTCAACCATAAATTAGATTACTTTAACACTTGTACACAGTTTTTGGTTTTATACAATTTTTTTTTGAAAATACTATACAAAAAACTTGGTTTATGCTTTAATGGTTGGTGAACTGTTAGTTATTAGCTTATATAATTTATTCTTAAAAATATTTTCAAGATACACCTAGTAATGTTTTGAAAGCCTTTTGCAACCTGAAATTCCTTGCTGACAGCTACTCTGAAAAACAAAAACGCTGCTACCACCTGCCCTGTTCATAATATTCTTATATAGTTATACAGGAATCTTTATGCTTAACAGAGCTGCCTTTGAAAAGAGAAAATGGGAATGACTGAAGAAACAGGAATTGAGTACCTGAAAGTATATAAAATAAAAAGATTTAATAAAGTATCAAAAAAGTTCAAACCATAAAATTTAGCAGAATAAGGATATATATAGAAGGTAAAACACATTAGTTTGTCGGAGAGATTAATTAGGAAAGGATGAAATAGCTTACAAGGTGAACATTACACATTAGGAGGTCACCAACAATATTTCCTACCTTTGCTTCATCTAACCTTCCCAAAGCTTTAAGTAGATTTCCCAGATCACTTCTTACACAGTACAGATCCTAAAATATAAAAATTCAGACAATATAGTCAGTTGTAAGTAACTATCACACAACTTTTGTAAAATTAAGAGAAGTTTAATGTTGGCCTCATTTTTTTCTGTAGTAATGCTCAATTCACCTGTTAAAAAAGGCTTTCAAGACTAGGAAAAAATCTCAAAGTATATCACAATGACTTCTCAGATTAAAACTATCTATATTTATACTTTTCTATTTTTACTTTCTTGAGCTTTGTTTTCACAAATTTCAGACATTTTTTATTGATCTGTTAATCTGCAAGTAAGTTATATCTCAATTCAATCCTTTAAAACAAAGGGTTTCTTTGTGTTCTCTTAACTGTCCAATGGTAACATTTGACATAATGTTTTTTTTTTAAATTTTCTAGAACCATCCAAAATTTTTGTCAAGGCCTTTCATGTAATTTCAACAATGAAAGTCCAGTAATTTATCCCTAGAATTACTTTTCTCAGTTTTTTAAACAAATTTTGTATGCTTCTAAAATTTTTTTGTACCAAACTACTTGTAAGCCCTTGAACTTTAATTTTCATTACAAGGCTAAAACAGGTGAAATACAAATATTTTGTTCTCCACATCTAAAAGATACAGATTTTAATGCCATGAAAATAGTAATTCTACTACACACATTGTAAAAATACTCAGCAAATGCATAGCTCAAGAGCATACATTGTGAAGAAATTCTATCATTATGTTTCATTATCTTACATTTTAGTTACTTTTATAAGAATAAATGAATAATGTACATGAAAAACATGAATTATAGTACTTATCTTTGCCTTCTTGTTTTGTTTTGCTGTTAGTTGCTGATATTTAATAACATGCATAAAGCAAACGTCATATAACTGTCATAA